ATCAATGCATTTACACCACATTATGCAGGACAGAAAATACAGTATTTAATAATGCAGTAAGATCCAATATCTATGAATGTACTTCATTCAGCGATTCAGTATCTCATACGTAAAAAATGCATCCCACATTCAATGAACAGAAAAAACATAAAAAATTGCGTGAAAGCAGAAATGTTTAACTGTTGAGACGTAAAATTTGATTTGTATTATATCAGGCAATTACATCAAGGGGTCTTATTGGCTTGCTGTCGAAATTGATTAAGCTGTTATCAATTGCCTTCAATTGTTAAATCATTAAACTTGGATTTTATTCAACACTCATTTTATTGCATGAATTTTGTCCCGAATGATATACTCTCGGAACATTGTTCCCTCTCTGTCTACTATGAGTTTGTTATCGAGTAATTGCATGGATCAGCATCCGCGGTATTGCAGTTTGATCGTTAAGCCAGATTATCTCCTATACTTCATTCCTTCTCCGGTTAAACTATCTAGTAACGAACGGCCAACAGAGATACTTTTAAGAGGTTCTCTATTATTCGTATTCCCACATTTAATGTGTAGAAGAAAACTTATCAGGCATTGCAGGCATTTCAATTTGATGATTTAAAATCGTTCTAGGTTGAGGTTGACAAGAAGTACTTTGCAATTCGTTCGGTGTATCTAATCCGCATAAACTGACTTATTATGTACCCTAGCAGCGGGATAGGAAAGTAGCTCCCTTCAACATTCCGCCCAAGAAAGTAATTATATGAACTAGAAAACTCAGCCTAAATCTCGATTCAAATCTTTCGGCGTGCAACAAATTTTGAGTGTTCATATATTATTTGTCTAGACATATTTCCATTATATAAATTTTTGCAGCTGACCAATAGTGTAAATGTTAGAGGAGAAAATAAAAAAAACTATTCAATGTAAATTTTAATATCAAAGTTGCTTTACGAAAATAAATCACACGTTTCTTACGCGATTCCGAAAACAAGTTCATACTTAATTATTTGAAAATACCTACTTGTTAGAGATAATAAATGATTGCAATCAAAAGTAAATTAGTGGAAGATTGGAAAGTGTAATGGTTTACGTACAGTGCGTTGAAAAAATGTTTTAAGATAAATTTTTAGCGACTTTAGCTGAATTTAAAGGACTATTTGATGTTTCGTTCAGAAACGTTAAATAATTAATTTTCATTTTTACTGTCCCAAAGATTAATATAACTTAATCCTTCAATTCAAGTTCATTCGATTCAATTTGAAATTCTGTTCAGTTAGCATCTATGGCGTTCGATACGCTGACCTATTCCAGACAAGGACATCATCAGTTGGATTACGAAAAAACATTCATTTGGAAGAATCTTTGGACTTTTTCTCATAATTTAATGATTAATTATAAGCGAATTGAACATATTGACATCATTATTTGTTACTGAGGGGGCGAAAAGAACAGGCTATTAAACAACAGATTCCACCATGATTGAAGATGAAACTACGACGCAATCTTCAATTTTCATGCAATGGTTCGAGATTTTTAGATAAAAACGTGCAATTATAAGTGCATTAACATCATACCGTGTTATTAGGTCTAGACTTGTGCAGCTCATATATGACTGTCGCTCATACGGCAGGTGATTTAATGCGATTAGGAACTTTACGTTGCATTTTAAGTGATCAGCACCGAGCGGCCGTTGAAGAAATTTTTTCGTAAAATTTAATTTTACTTCCCGAGATTAGTGTTTTTTTTTAAATCGAAGACAGTCTCTCTACAGTCTGAGAATTAAGGGTATAACGACCTTCTTCACATTTTCATGTGTACTGTGCATTGTCAAATTTTTGTCAGAGAAATGTTTAGTCCGAAAAAAATCTCTTCATATTAAGTCAGCGATGAGAAAATTCACTACATTTAATGTTCGATTTTTCGCCTTTTTTACCTACGACTTTTTTTTACGTTTTAGTATAATTCCAACTTAATATTTTGTATTTTCACTAATAATTTCTGACTTACTCATGCACGTGTAACAAGAACATCATTGAGGTTTAATGCAGACATAAAACTAGTACCTATATTTTTAGTCTCTATGCCTATCGACCTCAATTGTTTAGTATGTCGATTCTTTTCGCACTGTTTGAATGTTCTACAATATCGCTCATCATTCTGAGCAGGAATTTATCGAGGAACCACTTGAAGAGTCTTCCATGGCAAGCCTTCGATAGCGCCAGGTTGGTGTTGCATTCTGAAGGCGCTGAACGCAATATGAAGCTTCAGCAATTGATTTCTGGTATCGAGCTCCCCCTCATTGCCGTCTGCTTGCCTGCATATTGCTTCTGTCGACTTTTTTTGCATTTGTTCAGATTAAATTTTTGTTTGTGATTTCTTGTGGACCTGAATGTTAGGACCAAAATCGTTTTGGCAGCTGCAGTTTTCTGGTTGATTACGTGAACATTAAAGTTAAATTTCTAGTCGGATTGTGACAGTACGGTGCATAATCATGTTGCGTCGTTATTTTGAATTTATTTCATAGGTAATAGTTTAATACGATTAACTTTTATTCACGACAAGCTCACTAGTATTAAAACTACTAAAATTGTCAAAAACTTTTACTGAACTTACAAAATTTATCCATAAACAAATTGAAGAAAACGCAATGTGAAGAATTTAATTCGACCTTTCTTGCAATTAACTACTTTGTATTTCGTTGCAGATACAATGAATCCAATTGCACTCGTAACCATGACTCAGGTCGTGCTCCATTGTCTCTGTTCTATCAGGAGGACTCATCTTTCAACATCAGTGATGTGTAAGTCACAGTATAAGTAGTAAGAAAAATCAACAAGTTAACCTTTCAAATTACTGTAACTTCATATTCTGATTTGGCTTATCTAACAAGAATATTAGATTTTTCCAAATGGATTCTTAATGGTCTAGTTCCGCCATATTTTGGCATGGCATATCTTATAAAAATCATAGAAATGTCAATTTGTAATTTATTTTATTGCAGAATTTTTTTCTGAGATTGTTCCCTTGTGACTGAAAGTCTAAAATTAAAAAAATTAAGTAGTTCATGCAGGTGCATTTGTGGTTACATTACATTGAAATATCAAATTCCGTGCCGTTCCGTCATGTACAACAAACGAAAGTTTCCAAGTGAAAGTTCAGGAGGTAAAAGTTTACACTCGAGTGACTTGTTCCGCTGCAGGCTGACTGTCCTCGAGTTAGACGTGTCGCACAACGCACTCGACGCGACGACCTGCCACGACCAATGGCACCTCACAGCCCACAGGGCTTCCTCTTCTGCGTTTTATGAACCAACGAACCCTGCAGTCTTGTCGGACGACTCCGCGGGAATAACATGTGGTAAGGACGTCTTATTGTCATCACTCGGATAGCCTCAATTTCTTTATTGTTGTTGCAGTCTTGTCGGACGACTCCGCGGGAATAACATGTGGTAAGGACGTCGTATTGTCATCACTCGGATAGCCTCAATTTCTTTATTGTTGTTGCAGTCTTGTCGGACGACTCCGCGGGAAGAACATGTGGTAAGAACGTCATATTGTCATCACTCGGATAGCCTCAATTTCTTTATTGTTGTATTTCATAAGACAACGAATAATATTATCTTCACTAAGAGAACTACAATGATGCCATTTAATCGTCCAATCGAAACATAAGAAATTTAATTAACTTCAAAAGGAGATAATGGTTAGAATACCGTTAACAAGATGAGTTCAAGAAGAGTCTAGGATGAAAATTCCATATTGTTGACTGTAGAATTAACGAGCAGAATTATGTAAATTAAAATCAAGAGCTCGATCACTTAATGCCGAAACGTTTATGATTTTCCAGTTATATTGAAGAATATTTTCAGAATGGAATAGCTAATAGGAAACATAATAGTGCAATAGAAGTGCTAAATTACCATGTTAATATAAGAAATGTTTTACTGAATAAGGCGTTTTGAATATCCTTGTACTATGAATATTTATCATGGGTATACTTGAATGAGATATCAACTTCAAAGAACGGGATTTGCGCCCGTTGGTGAAACTTGATCATCATCAAATGATATTAAAGCTTGAAATACTTTAGCTTCCTGCTAACATTGTCAGTTCACTTGAACAAATTCTGTCGTGCGATGGTTACGTGAAATGCTAAACACTTATAGCAACCTCTCAATATATCGAGAACACTTTTCCTTGCACCACATCAGCTTACGTAATCAATTCTTGATGTTCCTAAGTGTATGGAATCAACTGTAAATGATTTGATAAATAATGAGTAAACGCATTAACTCATTAATGATATAGGTGAATACGCATACAAATTGTATTGTTTCAATCACCTCTCAATTGTGCTTATTTTTTTAAAGAAATAATTTAGTAACGGGAGTACAGAAAGAATTGATTAAAAAGTCTAATATATAATTTAGCAAGAGACTTTATAACAGAAATTTTGCGTTTGTGAACTGTGATCTCGAATTAAAACTATTGAATAAGTTCAAGCACCACCAAAGACTGTATTAACAAATGTTTTTCTTCGTTCCATAGAGCATCCTCGAGTTAACTTGAAAGATACGTTCAGAAATAAGACATTAATTCTCAACTGCTCAGCCGTGGGAAATCCACCTCCAAAGGTGAGTTCTTTTATTAAAGGCATGATTCTTGTACGTTAGTTGAATTAAATTTTTTAGCATTTTGCTTTTGATCTTATGTTTATTACGATTCGTGAATATATTAAGTGTAATGCATCACATACAGAAACTGAGTATATGCCAAGATATGAATGAAACTTAGATAAATCATTTATAATTTACTATTTAATTCAATTCAATTATTTAATCTGTATTTTATAATAATGCTTTTAGGCAAATTTATTTTGTACATGTAAAGCTGTTGCGTGGTGGAACATTTTTTAATCCGAAAACGTCATTCCAGATATTTAGTTAAGTATTTTCAATTCGTTGCAGTAATATTTTCTGTTGATAGATATCGTGGAGCCTGCCACAGTCCATGCAGAATGTTTGTGCCATCGAAAATGGGCTCCTGGTCATCGATATTACTAAGATAGCGCCACTGCGCATCAGTAAAATCATCTCGTGCCGAGCACACAACGATGCAGGAGTCGACGTGAAAACCTATTCTCTCGACCGTCTTTGTGGGGGTGAGTGGCCGCAGAACAGAGTTGATGGCTGGCCATCGAAATTATCACAAGAAAATTTTTCAGAAATACTGTGCGTGGGAAAATAGTTCAGTGTTGTGTTTTCTGCAAGCTTCGGTTCATTCATACACTTGGTTGATCACGCACTTATGCATTTTTCCTTTGGTGAACTTTGTGCCCGAATAATAAATTATGATCAGGAATGATCACAGCCACTTGAATTAATAAACACACACAGTCAACACCTAGTATTTGTTTTCTTCGAACTCCAGACGAAGCTCACATCGTGAGATTGAAGAGTTCAAACTCAAGCCAAAAGAAATTTGAGGTCGAATTCAAGTCGGCGCTGCCGGAGTTGTGCTCGTATTGGTCCTTCGAGCGGTGCCACGAGTACGCTCAACATCCGTGCGTCGGCATCGCGGGGGAATTCTGGATCACCAACTCCTCTGGGGCGCAGAGAGGTTTCCTAATATTTTTTTCATTTTCTTCTCTTGTTCATTAAAAATATGACTTATAGGGTAGAGTTAAAGAACAAAGGTAATAAGGACAGCAGGAATGATCCCCTGTCATTAATTATCGGCTATTAACTGCTGAGATAAAATTCCCCTGCTATAACAGCTGAGATCGGCTTTTAAAATTACATGATAAGGAAGCAAAATATTCCTCTTCGGATTGTCTATTTCATGGCCGTATTGCCTATTTCTTTCACTTAAGTTACACTTAAGCTTTACCACGGATGTTTAAGGTAAAATTTTAATTAAAATTGATAAGAAGTTAATAAAAATTTGTCTCTGGTTTATCCTCCTCATTTGCTAGAATTCACGAGTATTTTATTCCATATTTAACCCTTTAGCGAACAAGCCACCATATATTTCCATATAATATCTATATCCATAAATTTTCATCACGGTCCCCATTTTATGTTTGAGGCTTCCTTATTGTGCTTATGTTTTAATTATCAAATTATCAAAAATTATCTATCGTTCAAAATGCAAGATTTTGTAACGTTCACACTAGCGAATTTATCTTATTGTTCATACTCTAAATGTATGAATTTGAATGCTTAAATTTATGCATTTTTCTATGTTTAGCAAGGAAAGTGTTAATAAATGTTGCTACTTAACATTTCAGAAGGCTACCTACACTGTCATCTACACGCCGGTAGGCTTCGATTCACCGTAAGGTCTTCCAGCCAGGAAACTAGCAAGGAAATAATACCATCTGGCAGTAAGTTAAATTTTGCTATTTATGACAAATTCAAAATTTATGAACAGTTAAAACACAGTTGCTGGTAGGCGTTACTGCAAAGAAAGAACAGATTTATTAAATAGAGAAGACTCTCGGAATAAAGATGATTAACTGAGAACAACGGAATAAAAATATAATTTTTAATTTGTGTTTAAATTATAAGGTTCTCCATGGAATACGCACCTAAAAAGTACTGAGTGATATAAAAAAAGAGACAAAGAGTTTTTGAATGATGTTCATAGATTTTTCTGAGAAAAATTGCAAAAAAAATTCTAACTAATTGTTTATTTTAAGTCAATATGTTTTGTGTTATAACAGGTGCATCGTGTAGGTCACCGCAGGGATTCAAGCCGGTCGAGACAAAGTTCTTCGATAATCATGTTTTGTCAAGAGATGTTACAATAAACTTTTATACATCGTCATCAACCACAACCGAAGACCCGAAGGTAATGAAAATTATTGTAAAATTCTACGAATGTTAAGCCGTTTTTGTTAAGAATTTATTTATTTTCACTAAATGCATTATTGGTGCCTTAAAATTTGAGTACCGGTTTTTATCTTACTAAAATTATGAATATAATGGACTGCGTAGAGTTTATGCATTTCCTCCCCTGGTTAACTTAGTTAAGTCCTGCTTCTTCGAGAAATGCAGCTGTTGGATCTCACCAAATACAGGCCCAAGCATTACCTCCATCATGACCATATTCGCCCCGCAAGTGTCTCTCTAACCCAATTCGGGTTTGTGTCTTCAGATAAAGAAAGCTGTAGGCTCTTAGGCTAAGATATTATAGGCTGTAGGCTCTCGGGCTTGAAGCTTTCAAGCTTCTTGCTTCTTTGTTAATGCAAACAAAGCAAATAATAATAATGCCAGCATAAAAGTGGCAAAATCAGATGAACAATCTTATTACATCATATATACATGAACAATCACTATCAAATAAGTCACGAATTGAATTGATTGTTATAAACATTTACACTTCTACAGCTCACATTAATTCCACGCAACGAACGCCTTCTTCACGGCTCTGTACCGCCGGGCTAGCGCTCTCATTCTGTGCTATTAATTAAATATCAGTTTTCTCTTAACCTTAAATTGTAAATAAAAGTATGTCTTCTGCTTAAAACCCTAACATGTCAAATCACTTTCGAAGATTGATCTTCATAGTATATTCTGTTAAATACTTTAATTATTCTTGGTGTAAATCTCTAACGGAGCTTCGCTTCATCCAATAAAAACCATATATATAGTCTCTTCAGTTGTAGTGACATGCGGTCAATGTTGTGTTTACTCTTTCGATTTTCTACATGTGCTTAACCTGAGGTGATCAATTTTTACATTATTTTATTTCAGTTTTCAAGAAAAATTTTTACTGGAGACTTACTTCTGTGGTTTCAACAGTTGATATGAGCCGCAGGTCACTGTTTGTTGTCCACTGAAATTCCGTTCATTATACTATGAGAATCGGCGTGAAAAGGCGACCTTGCGGCGACAAATATTTGCCATTGAAAAACACAGATATTAAACATGTTTCAATAATGTATTGGTAAGGTTTGTTCTTTTGATGCATTGTACGTGCCGGCTACTTTTAGACTAGTAAATTACATTTTATGACAATGCAGTGCACAGACATGAATTTATACCATGGGCATTAACATTATTCGCAATCACAGAATTAGCATTATTGAAATTTGAGGAGCATGGTGATCTATGAAGCTGTCAAGGTTTACTCGGCACATTCAACTTGAATAAATCATCCACTAATTACAACACGGGATTTTGCCGAGCTTTTGAGTAGTTTTCTGATATTCGTTCTGGCTGCGCTACATTATTAAAATTTAATCTCTTGCACAATGGCATTCAATATTTTAATATTAGTCGTAATCATTTAATTCCAACCCCAGTATCCCTGATTGTCATTTACCACATAGTTAGTTGCCTCGTACAGCACGTCTTTGTCTGGACTGCCCCGCTCCGGGTGGGCTGGGGAGGGGGGGAAGGGGTCGTGGCTCATTAGGTGTGATAATTAGCGAGCGAGGCGTGACCGGCGGTTGCCTACATTATTTTTAGCGCATTTTCTCATTTATGAAATAAAGGCGCTATTACGCTCGTAATGCCCGTCCGTCTGTCCGTGACTTCACGGACGGACGAGAAAATGCGCTCTCTGTCACTCACTGCAGTGAGTATTGATAATTTTTTGAGTTTCTATTTGGTAGTGAATATACTTTTGTTGGGGCTCCCAAACTCACCAACTAGCCTACATGATCGTATAGGGTTCAATCACTGGTACATCTTTGAAACACTTTATTACACCGTAGTTTTTAATGCACAAACAAATTAGTAATGAACGTTACTATTGCCTATTGAACACTTATACGTTAACACTTAAGTGCTCCACGTCAAACTTCAGGCTTGAGGTTGAATTTCTAGGCTCGAGGTTGAGGCTTTCCTAAAAGAACCAAGTAGAAATAGATCAATAACTACTATTAAAGTAAACTATACACGATACACATACCTAAAATATGAAATCATTTATTTACACAATCTGTTCACATCATTATTTACATATCTACATCGGATCCTATTCTCACACATACCTCCGCTCCGGCTTTCCACAGCACAATAACCATTTCACCCTAACATTCCGCACCTTTCCTCCGGTTCACTCTAAACTAAAATGACAATTTAATAATTCGACAAATAAACAATTTTACCTTGAAGTTAATATCCCTTACACTGTAACGAAATGAAATTATATTTCTAAATTAATGCCATTATATGTAATGAAGTCAGTAATTACTGACTGCATTCATTTCTTTATGACGAATGGGTTATTCAAATTCATTGTTTTTAGGTATACTTCCACAGTCTGACTCATAATCCCTTGACGGGAAAACTCTCGCCACCATCATGTCTAACCACTATATTGAGATTAATAAATAACCAATATAATTGATAGCAAAAGGCGAATTACCAATTATTAAGTGAATAATAATCGTCCCTTTCTCATATGAAAAATATAATTATTTTGGTTAATTAATTTTGTAGAAAATTTCGATCACCGGACAGTTATGATCTCGACCGGCGACGTGGGCCTCGAATAAGCGATTCACCCTCCGCCTCTCTTTTGCTGAAAAATATCTAGAAGAAATCAGACCTGACTAGAAAAATCGAAGAAAAGGTTTAAATACCAGCAATTTTTAACATAAGAAAGTAAGATTCGAAACAAAATTTTATTATTTATTAATACACATTTTTGGCACTCATTTATTCTACGAATTGACACGGGGCATTAATGAACAAATGAACAATTGGTGAACTGATTTTATCAAGTAGAATGACAGTTATCCGGGAACTATATAATTAAATTATGTAATGCAAGTAATTACTGTCTCTCAGGTCGATGCACCATCGGAGGTAGGAAATCTACAGGTGCTGCTGCCCTCGGTGACGCTGTTGCTGCTGCTGCTGCCGCTCGGCATTTGGGTGGCCAAGCAGCCGAGGTTTCTACTCTGGCGCGACTGCCAACGCCGAGCGCCGTCCTGCAAGTCCGCAGCCGGGAAGGTTTCGTATTATCTGTAAGCGATATTCAAGTGTACAAGATATGCATATTTAGTTCAATTTTCGCTAGTGTCTTAAATGAAAGGAGTTTCTCTTTTGTCTTGTACGCTTTTTATATGCGAACATGGAGCTTTTTAATTTACTTCCCGGCAATCGAACAAAGTAAGTTTCTCTTATTCCCGCCATATTGTGTTTAGTTCCTGTAGGCGTTCTCAATGAGCATCCGGCATTTCTCTAGTCCTGCAAATATTCTCCACGCATACAAAGTGTGCCATTTCCGTTAAATTTTAACAATAACTTCATATTCCAAATAAAGTGAGCGCAGGGTTCGGGGGCAAGCTTTGCGCAGGTACAGTCAGTGCACAAAACCTGTATACAGTACGTAGTTAGCCAAACAAAAGCTTCATCAAAACCGTTTGTTCATCAGTTAGAGCAAGAGGTTCATGTAATGTACCATCAGCTCCTTGATGTAAAATGTTAATTAATTATATATGATTGTCGTTGCATGAGGCGGATTTTTAGAAAATTTGCTGTGAATACAGACACAATCATACACGAGTAGGCCGTAGGCGTAATAACTATCAATGAGCTCAGATGATTTTTTTTCAAATTTGTGATGTCACCCGATAAACTCCACAGAAAACCGTGCACTTCCACAACTGACTCTGCACAACACATTTTGCGCAGCTCTACAGAGCCAGAATAGAGCAGGTTTTTGCAGTTCATGTAAGGTGGACATGTAGAATACAGTTGGCTGTTGCAAAACTGAGACCGTGTGCGTGGTTAACGATCGAGTACCCAACCATGATTGGCAAACGCGTCTCTAAATTGGATATTTCTGCTTTATTCCGGTTTTATTGCTTCTGTACGTCGGCCTTAGGGCTGAGGCAGGCTCTCGATTCACTGCTGTAAATATTAACTGGGATTGTCATCAATAATACTTGAATTAAACAACAGCTTTTGCCTCGCTATTGCTATTCTAATATTTTATTAACATCCATGTCCAGCGACTGCAGGATTTAATTTCCCAATGATAAGAGATGTAATGTGTAGTATATGTGTGATTCTGTGCCTTCATCAGTTGATCGTGTCAGTACGTCTTACGTTCAGTTTGAATGGCGTTTTCGATTTATTTCAGTTCCAATAAGAATAAATCCTAATCCTCCATTAATGTGTATTGTTCATTGATATTTTAAAACTATATAAAACAATTTATCAATGATGGTTTGGCTTGAAAAATGAGTTTCAATGCTATAAAATGTAATTGCTCCGATATATAGGCGTGTATTTTCCAGCTTGATAGCAATATAATTACTTATTCGAAAGCTTGCGATTACAAAATCGAAAAAAGCTACGTCATAAACAAGTAATTTAACCATGCAAATGTAAACTAAGTTGGTTTGCCAAAACAAGTATACTGTAATTTCAATAGGGGAAAAAATATTCCACAAAGTTGTTGTCGTAAATGATCTTGGGCTCCTTTACCTTTCCATATTTGTTTGTGCGTTCAATATTGCTAATAAAATCAACAGGGGAATGTTTCTCATTTGAATGGGAAACATGGAGAGGTGAAATGAGTTGCGTTGCTCTGGGACTTTATTGACCTGTTATTCGCATAGGCTTCGTGTTCATGCACTGAATGGCCTTTGGTATTCAATTTTAGTAATAAACTCACTCTCTATGCATGGAGATTTTGTTCGTGGGTGAAGCGGTTCTCAATGAAGTTTGGTATCCTGGATTTTATGAGTTCTTACTCCCAGTGGTATTGTTATTTATAATAAATTATTATTACTCTAATTTCTCACCACATCGTAAAAGAATACAGCAAATATACTTCTCCTTACGGGTGTCGTGACACGTTGAGTGTTTCATGAATTTAGTGATAGAATTTAAGCGTGATGAATTACATTATTCGTTTCTTAACGTGGAAAGAATATTGTTGTGATATCGTCAGGAGAATTCCGAGCATATTTGCCACTGAGTCTCGTTTATTGTTATGAGATTAAAATTTGCTTTTGAATGAATAAATAATTTGCAACTTAAAAAAACTGCTCATATGCTCGATTCTTCGGCTTTTCAAGCAAATTCTAACTCATGGGACTCAACCATGATTAGTTCTAAAAATCAGGCTAGCCGTGGAAATTTATGAATGCGATCCTCTTTACGAAGCGATTTAAGTGATAAAATGTTTTAATTTAAGCCAACAAAAGGATTAGAAAAGTATATCTCCTGCCATTATCTCAAAAAGTATATCTCGTCACCACAATACGACAAAGCTTCGTCATTTTTACAATTTAATCTTACAAAAATTATAGCTGGAAGGTATGAACCCAACTCACTTGTCTGACTTCAAAATTTCTCTTCAGATAAGGTATGATAATTCAATTGAATTAAGTTAACAAATTTGACTAAACAATTAACATAATTTGGTTCTTCCAAGCAGCACTAAACCTGCATCGAGTGACGTAAAAAAATCATTCCTCCTTTATTTCCTCCATTACGCTCAAATAAAGCCATTTACGCCTAAAAGCCCAATATGATCCTATGTATCTATTCTCAGAGCATTAGGTTTCTGGAAAACCCGTGTAATGTCTACATTATGTTTATCTTACTCATCATTTGTGCTAATAATGTGTAATTCAAAGTAATATGTATTGTAGAATAATTTGTATTCTAAAATATATTAACTCATCTTTGAAGCAAAAACTAAATTAAGCTCATTCCTAATTTTTGCAAATGGCATTTTATGCATTGTAAAATATATTATTGCCGTATCGTGGAAGCACATCACGGCTGCCGAGCTCGCGCGCGGCGCTCTCTAGTGAGACGACGACGACCGCTGACGGCAGCGCGGGACGCATGCTGGCGCTGGGGGTGGTGAGCTCGTCGGCGTCTGTGGCCCCGACGCTGCTCGTCGAGAATCCTGGATACCAGCAGGCAACTTCTGCTCCTGTGAGAATACAGGATCTTGTTGACAAAAAATTCAACGATTATATTTTAAGATTAACGTAAAAAAAGTACATTTTTTTCTTATAGATTATTTTCGCGTGAGCTATCCGTAAGCACGTTTGAGAACGATTGCCATTAATTTTTCCATCACGTCGATAATATGGGTTTTCAAAGTGAGATTAGAGGAATGATTATGATGGTTTAACGATCATTGTTTGATCAAGGCATGGAACGACGCTGCATACTTTGGTTTTTGGAGCTTTAGGTTCTCCAGTATTTTGCTTTCCGATAAATATTCTATATTCTTGTTTTCTTTACTATGATTCAAGCAAGCCCGTTTTATATTTAATCTACCGTATTCACAATAACACTCTTTTGTATGCACTGCCTAATGGCTTGCCCAATTTTTTTTATCACCAAATGTATTTACATTCCTTCTTCAATAATGACATTTTGAACCCAAATTTTGGTTATCAGAATTTTCGCATAAATTGAAGACGATTTCGTTTGTTCCCTGAGGTGCCGGTTATTCCCAACGATACGCTGAAGTTCGACCGGCCGCTGGGAGAAGGAGCCTTCGGCGTGGTATACTTCGGCACCATGGATACTCCGCTGCGTGACGCCCCGCTGCCTGTAGCTGTGAGTTAGTTTAGTGACCCTATGATTACTAGCGCTTCAGCTGTAGCTGTGAGATTTTCTACTTTTACTGTATTTAAATATTTATTTTAAGCTCCAGAAAGTAATTTTGATCTAAAAAGTTAAGGAGTTGTTGTGGAATTCTTTATTGGAGACAAAATATTATTTTTGGCTCAATTATTAATGGCCGAGAGCGTATATGGATAATTTGTGAGTTTATTGATTTATTTTGGAATAGATCGCGCGACGCAAAACTTAGTAGGTGAGTAATGAAGCTTTTTTACAGAGAAATGACTGCGTAATACAATAATATAATTAATTTGGAATTAAGGGGTTAAAAATAAATTCATCAGAATTTTAAATTGAGTTTGTCCACGTATTAGAACAAGTTTTTCTTCGCTTTAAATGCTAGTACTTATGTAACGTTAAAAAAAAACTTTCTTGAAAACTGCAACCGGCAGTTTTGATTTAAAATAAGGCTGGGTTAAAAATATCTTGGAGACTCTACGAAAACTGCGAACTTAAATTAATCGTTGGCCATCCTGAACTTTGAACAAAGCCAAAAAGTAAATCTTGCTTGGATCTTTTTCCAAGTTTTCATTAAATTCAAGGTCTTCTTCACATGCCACCATTCAATGCGTCCAAATTTAAAACAAATACCTGCCATTTCATGCCATGCGTCGAGGCATGAAATTCTTCAATTATTTTTTTTCTGGAAGCTCCCAGAAAAAAAGAAGCTCCGCTTGCATAATTGAACAACTTTGCTTCTGAAAGCATTCATTAAAACGTTTGGGCACTAAAAAGTTTTGATAAAAGTTAATTATTTATAAATCTTAATTGAACCGAGAGAATACCCAACAAATGAATAGCACAGTTATGGAATAAAAATTTACCTCATTTCGTTCACACGTCGCTTTAATTGAATTATTTTCGAATAAGTAAGCGTCCATTACACTTTCATGAGAATATGTCTACGGACATTGAAACCAACATTCAGTTTACTTCGACTGTTCATTGCTGTAACACTTCTGAACGCAGTAGTACCTCATAACGCTGTTGTACCTCATAACGCTAAAGTACCTCATAACGCAGTAGTACCTCATAACGCTGTTGTACCTCATAACGCTGTAGCACCTCACAGCGCTGTAGCACCTCATAACGCAGTATTACCTCATAACGCTGTTGTATCTTATAACGCTGTAGCACCTCACAACGCTGTAGTACCTCATAACGCCGTAGTACCTTATAACGCTGTAGCACCTCACAACGCTGTAGTACCTCATAACGCTGTAGTACCTTATAACGCTAAAGTACCTCATAACGCTGTAGTACCTCATAACGCTAAAGTACCTCGTAACGCTGTAGTACCTCATAACGCTGTAGTACCTCATAACGCTGTAGTACCTCATAACGCTGTAGTACCTCATAACGCTGTAGTACCTAAAACAACGCAGAACTAGTTCACATGAGATTTTTCAACATGCAGGCTAACACTATCTCCCTCTGCTCATATCCCGTCAGCTGAAGACGCTGCACGCCGTGGGTGCCAGCGTGCACCAGGAGGTGGAGCGCGAGGCTGCGACACTGAGCAGCCTTAAGCACGACCACATCGTCACCTTCTACGGCGTGTGCTATGACTCCTCGCCTATGGTTATGGTCTTCGAGTATATGGAGCAGGGGGACCTCAACAACTATCTAAGGTGGGATTATTCATAATATTCATAGCTAAATAGTTTCTTTATTTTTATTGTTAATATTTTGTGTTTATTGTATTCATTTTTGTACTATCAATCTTACATTACAAAATTCATAATATTCATAATATTCATATTCATGATATTCATAGCTAAATAGTTTCTTTATTTGTATCGTTAATATTTCCTTTAATTGTCGCTCTCTAATATATGTCCGAGTATCGTTTTGGAAGGAGCTCAAGATTATCATTTGATACTCTCTTAAACTTAGCACCTATAAACTTAACTTGAGAATAAAATCAGGATTATTATATTATAATGTTTTTACGGTGCTCTTTGCCGTTCAAAATTTTTGAGTATCCCCAAAAGTTTTTGAGTCGATCTTTTTCTACCAGAGGTGATTAAATTTTAGAATATCAATCTTCTACGAATAAAATCCCATGCATTGCATTACTTGAATATTCGAAGAGACCTTGCTGATATAGGAACGAAATTTTTATTTCCATCAAACAACATTCAGAAAAAATAATTCCTTAAGTTTAATGTTTGTGCCTATTTTTAAGGTTTGTTATACATATTGGGCCAATTAAGATTCCGAATATTTCACTGAGAGAAAACGATCGGAAATAAGGTTATCACAGTTTCGAGCTAATACAAGTTAAAGAAAGTAATTATTTTGTAGTAATATAATATTAATGCACGTTTTAGGGAACACAACGAAGACTCAGGCGTTGCCGACTACTTAACAGCTCCGTTGTCTGTAATGGATGACTTGCAAATTGCCGTGCAAATTGCTGCCGGCATGAGTTACCTCGCTTCACAGGTCGGTTGTGCAATTCAAACAAGTCTTGCAAATTGTTAAATTGAATTAAAACCCTGAATTTCATCAATTATAGTTGCTCAAAATGGGTTATCTTCGGTTAAGTATGCATAATTCATGTTTAGTTTTGCTGTAAAATTTTTGTTATATTGACGTAGGTTAATTTTCACGTTCCCATTTAACTCCCAGTCTCTTTTTTCACGTAGGTTAATTTTCAGGGAGACTGATATCATATCAGAGATTACTGCAGAATAATAGTTATAATGAACATTTCTCACGTGATTTAACTTGCTGGGAGGTCATCAATAATGTTTTGATAGACTCAATTGTGTTGACGATTTTCGTTATCATTATATTTTTCAAATTTTCCTTCTTTGGATGATTTCATTTAGAGTGGAATGAGGAGCCGTAATCTGACCAGTTATCAAGAAATAAATGAAATAAAGTGCTATTAACGATGATTAAATGTCTCGGGAAAAAATAAAACCATCTAGAGTGCCTAGGATGATTTCGGTATTAACTTGCACCCTTCCAATAAAAATAGTGACTTCCTGTCCGCGTCTGGCATTGTCACGGCAATTGATTTGAACGATTTGATTGAACGAGGACTCAATAATATTTCGTATTGAAGAACCAATACTAATGAAAAAAACTGAAACGATATCGGCGGCTAAGCGCGTGAGGGGCGACGGACGGCTTTTAAAATTTTACTTGTGTTAAAAATTACTAAGGCTCTAAGGCAGGAGCGTTGTGCATTCCAACAAATTGCAGTTTCCTTCCTGTCCGGAAATTCAAGTTTCTTGGAATTTTTATTTGTGACGAGCACGGCTCGTCATAAAATCATAAGCTTCACAGTAAAATATTTGAAATCTTATTGTTTCATAGTCAAGTGGTCGGCTGAACTATCTTTCATAGCTGGTGAGTGTCTTACTAGAATTGGACGACTAAAGCCCATGCATTTTATTTTGATAACTTACGCTAAACAAACAGAAAATTTTTAATAAATAAAAAAAGTAAAAATGAATATTTGATATTATGTCAAATAAACTCGAGAGTTTCAAAAAGATTAAATACATTCATTTTCCTCGCAGCATTTCGTGCATCGTGACTTGGCGACAAGAAATTGCCTGGTTGGCAAAAATCTGCTTGTCAAAATTGGCGATTTCGGAATGTCCAGAGATATTTACATGTCAGATTACTACACTGTAAGTATTAGAAATATTTCTTTGTTGATAGTAAATGTTTCTTCATTTCGTTAATTTCAATGTAACATTGAACTAATGAAAACGGTGCAAAAATGATGGATAGTTTTCTGTTTAACCGCATGAATAGTTTGAATACTTTATATTATAACTTATTCGCATTATTATTGAATGGTAACTAGTTATTCGTGACTATCCAATGTGATATGTAATTTAGGACCACTCGGTCGCAACACTGAATTCAATGACCAACTTGGACCGAACAAGACTTTGGGAAAATAAAAACATTACTACGTCTACATAATAAATACTGACTGAAGGTGATTTGCTACGTAAACATCTTGACTTCCGTGTAGCGTATGTAACATTAACAAAAGTCTCTAATCTGACTGGAATCTTAGTTTGGGTGCGAAGCAATGCTGCCAGTTCGCTGGATGCCACCAGAGAGCATCTTATACCGACGGTTCACAATAGACAGCGACGTGTGGAGCTTCGGAGTTCTGCTCTGGGAGATCTTCACTGGCGGCCAACAACCGTGGTATGGCTACAGCAACCAGGAGGTAAGTAATGGCGGCCAATAGCCGTGTTATGGCTACTGCAACCAGGAGGTAAGTAATGGCGGCCAACAACCGTGGTACGGCTACAGCAACCAGGAGGTAAGTACTGGCGGCCAATAACCGTGGTACGGCTACAGCAACCAGATATGGTTAATCGTGTTTGTCTTTGAAGTACTAAACTATACTCGAAAATAAGCCAAAGGTCAGCATGTGATATTGTTGCATTGCAATATTTTAAAAGGGGATGTAGCTGCCATGATGGCTGTTAATATTCGTGTAAGTCGTGGCCTCGATCATGATTCCTCTCCTCATGAAATAAGTGAAGATTTGCTTCAAACTTTCAGCATAGTTACAATTAATGGACCTTGAACAGCGATAAACTGTTTCTTGTATTTAATTGACTACTGGAAGAAATTTTAAAGCATGATTCTAGTTTCGGCTTTACTTTTAAAGTTCAAGATGGCTGCTGATTGGTTTTCAGTTTCTCGCAAGGTCAACACGACTGTTATTTTTCATATTAAAGAAATAAGAAGAAAGTTTTGGATAACCCACACTCATGAAATGACGGAATTACATTTTTGATGTTGCTGGACATTTCATTCGACCGAAACACAAAATCCGGGTTAAGTGATAACGAGTAAAATTTCAGGTTATTGTGAAATGATCGTACAATTATTTTTCTCTCGTATTTTCCCCGCATAAAACAATTTTTTTCCAGTAGTGAAAATACATTCCATGATAATTATGCACCTCCTAATGGAGGCGTCAAGTTATAGCGAGGTTTTAGATGGGATGAAATTAAAAAAAATACAGAAGCTTTCTTACGGCCGAACATAAGGCCAGTTTATACTTATAATATTTAATTTCAATTGTTTCAAAAAAATTTGTACATGCTAGCTGCGCAGCAGTTATTTTAACTTCTTCTATACTGTAGTTTTGCTATCCGTGCACTTTTGTTAAGTAATCATATAATTGCGCTGTGAATAATCATTATTCATTTATTGGATACGAACGAGCGATCGATGTCGCAAATGAGGAAGATGCTCAGCACTATACAATTATACGGTATCAATTAGCGTTATAAATTTCGCCGGAAATTAGATTCAATACAATGGCGGAGGATGCGATTTTTTTTATTTCATGATGATGTTCAGTTGCTCAGGTGATACAAGCAGCGAATCATTGCCGGAATTCTCATGAGTTTGCATTTTCCTCCTGATTGTTACCGTGTAAAAGAGGAATGAATCCTTAAAATTACGTTCATAAATAGTTGATGTTTAAAGTAATAAACTGATGAAATATTCGGTTAGTAAAGAAATATTCATCAGAGTTGGCTTTGCTGAATTTTTCAATTATTGTGGCTTTGATGATTCTTCTGATATAGCTTCCATAATAGAGATATATATTAAACTTCAAAAATGTGTGTGACGTAATTGTAAAATTAAGCTACAGAACATAACATACCAAGTCGACTTCGTTGTTCGGTCAGATGCTATACAGAAGCATAGAAGTTTCAGATTGATTACTTTCTCATTTTATTGAGGAAACTGCCGTCATTTCGCGGCAGAGGAATCGCTTTACAGCGTCATTGTCTTATTGGCGTGCCTGCGCTGTGTAAACGTTGTAAACATGGGAATGCAAACAAAATTTACAGACAATTATTTTTTAAAAATTACAAAAATTACAGACAATGCAGACAATTATTTGAAGTTATATTAACTGAAGTTTTACTTGTATGCATTCTTTATTTCTTCTCATATTAACTGAAGTTTTTCTTGTATCTATTCTTTCTTTCTTCTTATATAAACTGAAGTCTTTCTTGTTTTTTTACTTAAATTGTTCTAAAACGAAAACTGAAAAAATATTAGCCTAATATTAAAGTGAAAATGTATTGTACAGGAGACTCTTTTACTTAACTTTCGTTATTTTCCTAATAAAATAATGATAGCAGAAAAGGCAACACAATCACTCGGCACCAGAATACATTTTGGCTCGAAATTAAAATCCCTCTGCACCAATAATATCCTTCTGTCAAACGCACAGTTTTACGTGCTTACATATTAATGTTTTTAAAGCGTAAAAAAGATTTGAACTTTCCAGGAAAGTGCACTTAATTTTGGTCTGTACATGGCTCAACATTAACGGCCATCGATGCCAGACGTGCTTCCTTCTTGTCGATGCAATGAATCGACTTGGTGAGAAATGGCTCTACCAGTATAGGCAAATCGGCTGCTATTCTTCGCACCTCGAATAAGCTTTCATTAAAGGAACATTTTTCTCTGTACCAGAAGGAACCATTTATAACATTCGTATTTGGACGGAGCCTCAGGCATTCGGGAGGAGAACAACAAATTGGATTTAGTAGTTCTTTTGAAAAATTTTCTATGAAGGGAGCCATTATTAGTAACGAGTTCTGTCAATCATTTTAGAATTAAAAGTGGAATAGCATAAATTACTTAAAAAATAGTATAAAAAGAAAATGGGCGCATTCAATCATACCATAAAAATTACCAGCTCTTCAATCCAGCATTGCCCTGTTTCGATAATTTCTGAAGTTTGAAACCATTGCACCGCTAAACCATTGCACTCAAGTCACATCGAATCTCGTCATCTAGAATTTAGTAATAATCTTGGAACTTGAGTACATCACTAAATTTTTAACCCGATGCAACCCACATTCAGCATGAACTTCCCATTAAGCTCATGGTATAGAATTAAGAAAACGAAATGACTTTTCCCTCAAATTATCATGAACCCAAATTCATATGATATCACTTTTCAAATCTCCATCCTCCGTCCTTGAAATTTTCACGATTCTACCGTGTCATATAAGGGAGTCTTACCCTCAAAATTATCTCCTAATCCAAATTACCGATATCTGAAACTTCCTATATGTAGTAATGTATTTACGTCGAAGAGCTAGTTGGTGAATTTTTTTATTTACTAGACATCTTTAACAACATTAGTTGTATGTTATAATCGTTATCTGTAGGTACTTTGTTCATGGTCTTAGCTGTCCACTTGTTCCATTTGTTGTTTATGAAACCATGACGACTTCCAGGTCTGATGATCATGCATTTATTTTAACTGCAGAGCAATGATATTTTTTTCAGGAACTCGATATAAAGTTCGATTCTTGTACATTTTTTATGCTCTATTCTGCTGTTCACCCGCGAAAACTTCTATTGTGTAGTATGCTCGTCTTAATTGACAAAAATTTAATTGACGACGTCGTTTTCGGTACCAATTCTATTTTTATCATATAGATATTTTAATTTAAGGTATTAAAACTGGTAATTATTGTGAATAGTGGAAATGTGCTAATGTTATCTATGCATTATAAAATTTATGCAGTTTTCATTGCTCTAATGTTGCAGGTTATAACAAAAATCACAGCTGGTCACGTATTGCCTTGTCCTGAGAAGTGCCCAGATGACATGTACGTCATCATGAAGAAATGCTGGGTGAAAAATCCGAGCGAGAGGCCGAACATGTCAGCCTTGCACCAGTCCATTCTCTCCCTCACTAAACTCGATAACTGCATCCACATCGGCTCGCTCGACTAGACTAAGGAACTTGTGATGTATAGTAATTTTATTGATAATATTAAGCTTGATTATAATTCTGTTGTAGGGCATGAAAAAAGATATGGCTGTCATTAGATATTTTCTAAATAGCTTAGACTGAGTTTGGTCATTATATACGAGTGAAACAATGTGTTGGATCTAAAGAATAGTTTTTGCTCCTATCTATGTACATTTTTTAATATAACAATTAATTTCTATGGTATATTAGAAAATGCATTTTTAAAGAAAAAGTCGAAAATAAAACTTGAGCTGGAATCAAATTAAAAGTTTGTGGTGTTTTCTTAATTAGAAAAATGTAACTATCAAATATAAGATACAAAAAATTGTTTACAGCTGAATTGTACAAAACATGATACTTCCCCCTTTTCTTTTGTGCCCGGATCACCTCATTACATTAAAGATATAGTCTTAAGTGAAAAAATTCAGCGCTTATTTTGAAAAGTTCCGTGTTCATCTGAATAGGATTGATCTATTTAATTGAAACGATTAAATCTTTTTTATCTTCTAATTATTTGGTATAATTTTCAAGCGATAAAGAGAGGGTTTAATGAGACCACAAGAAATTTTATCTATTGACTTAACCGTCCAAAAGATAGCAATATTGAGAAAATGAATTTTATATGTATTAGTACTGCTAATTGGCGATTAAAAAAATGTCATTGCTAAATTTTGAAAGTGTGACGAGAAGTTTTTGTGAGCATTTATATTTATATGCGTGTTCACTCTACTCATACGTGCGACTGCAGCGTTTGCAGATTAATAAAATAAAATCATTGATCATTTTGAGTAAGCTTAAGTGAATAGAATATTATTAAATAAAACATTTAAAGAAAATCAATTGAATAATTTCCGCAAACCTTATATACAGATTGTCCTACAATCACCGTGGTTCAGTGATAGGTTAATAATTTTCTTTCGCAATTCTGTGAATGATATTCTATCATTAGCATCAAAGGTCAGCAGTGTCTTTACATAATTTAAAACGAACGAACGTTTTTTTCAAATGCGGTTAAATGCCTACCAAAAAATTATAACTCAGAATAAATTTATTTCCAACTTTCATGTTAGCCCGGTATTGCTCGGGCTTTTAATTATATAAAGACCCTTCAAACCCACATTCTATATAGAAAATAGGTTTCCCGATATACACTCATTTCAAAATATGAGGTTTTCAGCTTACTGGAGGAGATGAACTATTTTAAATTCAAGAAATGTGACTATTGAGATCTTACATGCTGGCGAAACTCATTTTGTGAATTCAACTACAAGATTGTGTAATCAATGTTATTAAAACATTAGTTAATTATGTTACTTCTAAGCTACCTTGCGACTTCCATGACAAACCCATTAATACCCGGTATATAAATAGGAATCCAAATATTACAAAGTTATATTGTTTTTTAATTTCACGTTGGCATGTGGCATTCAAATGGTGTACATAAAATCGGTGTCAGCGTAAGTATTTCATATGAAGCTGTTTAAATTTAATCTCCTACATTAAGTGTCTTCGTCTTTAAGTTCATTTAAATATGATAAGTATTCTTCAGAATATATCAATAGGTGCAACGAGATCAAGTTTAAAAGGAATTTAAAAGCAAAGAAAACGCCAAGAAAATTCACCATATCGATATTGAAAACGTTTCGGAGTCCAGCTCCATCATCAGTTCGACTAAACTAAAAATGAATAAAATCACTTTAAAAGTCAAAATTCAAAGACAGACATAAAACCTAAACAAGACCTAACATTATATCGAAACATCTCCGAAACGTTTTCAATATCAATATGGTGAATTTTCTTGGCGTTTTCTTTGCTTTTAAATTCCTTGTGAACTTGCGATATAAGCAGACTAATGATATAAGTACTTATATACGATCAAGTTTAATTTCTATAAATAAAATGTTAAAATTGTATTTATATGATGGAAATCATTTGCAATATCAGACAAACTTCTGTTCAAGGTTGTAATTTTGCCTCATTTAAATTGAGCTCCGTCTTTTCGGGGGATCTGTCTGCATTTTTCATCACAAGCTTGAATTTGATTGATCGCGGAAGTCTTGAATACAGTCGAAAAGTTTTTGGTTTTGCTCTCAATACTGACAGTTCAGAGAGTTCATTTTCAATAAAATGGTAACTAAATTCCCGGTAAAGAAAAAAATATATTTTTAGCTTGAATCGTTTGAACATAACTTTACTTTAGTGATGAAAGGTGCTTATATGAGATTGGATTATGATACAACGAATGTTTACGTTGCATAGGAAGCAAGAAAAGAGTTTTATTGGTTGGGAATTAAGGTTTTCATTGAACTTTCATCTAAAGTCTTTAATAAATTCCCTTGATGACCCTCTCTCATGATTATTGTCTAATACATGTGAACAAACATGATTATGTGATCATAAATTATCATGTGATATTCATTATAATGTGATTAAACATGATCAACGATCATTCATCATCATTTTATCATACTTTATAATTTGATTTCACACGATTATGTGATCAATCTGCATTACGTTATCTTGCATTATTATGTGATTATAACTTCACTGTGATCATGCATTATCCTGTCATAAAACATAATTACGTTTTGTTACGAATAATGAGATAAATGCTCTACTTCATGGGATGAAATTCGTGCAACAATAATTCACCATCGACATAACATAGTCTGCTTGCCGGCAGCAAGCTTTTCATCAATTCCTGACATCTATACGATCAGTTTTTGCCACGTACACGATCAATTCTTGACTCATGCACGATGCATTACATGAATAATAAATTTTGACGTCCATGAAGCTTTAAGAAGCTGACACCACCTCGTGTTCAGTCAAGTCTCATACTATCATCTGTCACTTTTGTTTTAAATGTATTTCTTTTTTCACTGGGTCGGATCCCTGTACAGATGTGAACAAGCTTCTGTACATTATACATTATTACAATATTGCATACATTACATTAATTCTCTGTTATTATTTTATCGGCGGTGTCTGTCGCCCGTTTTCAAATGATAGTTCATTCCTACTATTGTCATTGTTTCAATTTCAGTGATTTGTGGCTGTTTCTTTCTCATTGCCTTAAAGAAAATTAGTTTAGGTATTATGGATGTTTCAAGCTTTCCTGGTACAATTATTATTTTTGTGGTATTGAGAACAATTTGCCATTCATTTCACTGAAAAAAAAAATAATTTATTGAATTTTTCAAAGTCCTGAAAGGTTACTGCTTCACGTTACTTTTTTTTATCTGAAACTTGGGGTTTTATCTAAACCTTAAAACTGTAAATATTTTTTGACTGCGTGAGTGATTATGATATTGTATCCTAATTTGGTCAGTAGATCAAAATAAATTACAAATTTTTTCTGCCTAATTTCATTCCGTGTCAATTGACTGCGCATGTTAAAGCGAAAATTGCGGATTTCAATTAAATTTTCAAAAATCAATATGCAGAGGATTCTTCAGTTTAGAATGGCGCAAAATGCCCAAAAGGTATTGATATATTTCATAAAATTTTGAATATTTTATTCTGAAAATAGAGAAAGCCCTGTAATTATTGCAAGTAATTCTTCTACATCTTCGATCATGAAATTGTTCGTAACAATAATGTAAAAACAGATTGCACATGTACTAGGCTGCTTAAATTCCATGTTTCTAGTCAGGTTTAGAATATTATAGTTAAGCTTATTTTCCGAAATTAAATTTTTATTATCATTATTGAAATTATTACCACCTTCACTTGAAAAGATCTTGTTAGCAGGCCAGTTTTTAAATAAGTGAACAAGTCTTTTCTTCAGGTCCAGGTCTGTTCTTCAACGCCGAGGATACAATAATATACTACTATACTATCAAGGATAATTATATATAAATAAACAGAGCCAATCATGACTTTTTAGACGTTAACGCTGGAAATATTCAGATTTTCATACTCCTGGTCTTTTAAAGAATGAATATATAATATCTCTCCAAATAAATTTACCGATTCACTATGCGGTGAAAAATTCAATTATGTCGTATTAATTTACTAAGAATATTTAATTTTGGGATGTTTATTCATCTATTTGATTAATGAAAATGAAGGCTTTTCCTCCTCAAAGTAGAAATGAGAACTTGCAGGAAGACTTACTCAACGAACTGTTGAGTCAGCATAAATAGCAACCATGCATTCACCGAAGGCACCCGCGTCACTGCCTGCACTCGCTTTGTGAAATTTTAAAGACCGAATTAAATCGATGAATAGGATCAGCACTTCGAAAATATCATAAAATTTTTGCAGCAATTTGCCTTCAATCATCAAGTTAATTTTCTCGCATACCCATGCAAGTTACATCTTAAATATTACTGGTTGTATAATCCAATTAATCCAATGTTGCCCGGTGAAGATAATTTCCGCAATTTAAAATCCCGCTATCCCTTTCCACTCTGTCATATCGAATCTCGTCATCTCGAATTTATTCAATAATTATGAATTACGCGCACATTAATTAATTTAATACCAGTTGCAACCCAGATTTAGCATGGAGCTCCCATTTAACTCCGAGTCTGAAATAAAAAAAACATTAACTTAAAAAACGAATATTTTCAATTTTAAAAATTACAATGTAACCGAGAAAGATAATTATATCATTAGTCCAATCTTCACCCTCCACTCCACTCAATATTTGTTTAAATATCAATCATTTTCTGCTGCTTCTTTGTAAGAAATCTATATGCTGTGAACCAGTCTAATTTTTTTTTAGAAACCATGACGACACGACAGGTCTGCATGGTGATCATTTAACTTTCGGAGTGCGATGCAATTATATAGATTTACCTTTTTTGAAGCTCAAGCACCTAAATTAGAGCTGAATAAGCATAACATATTAAGTTCGTTTCTTTTAATATTTTATACCTTACTCACAGAAACTTCTTCTTGTGCAGAATGCTTGTTTGAAAATTGTACACGTGCCAACTAATAATAATAATAATAATAATAATAATAATAATAATAATAAT